GTTAACGTTTATCAAGACGATCATGGGTTTCAGCGAATGGAGTGACGATGAGGTGCTACGTGTCGCCGCGCGCTTAGACACCAACACGTTTGAGGTGCGCCAAACAACAGCCAGGCAGAAACTGCGCGCGATCTATACAAACGCGGCGATGATCTCACACGATTGTGTTTCGAATGCGCGTCACACCTTCGACGATCAATTACAAATTCTTTTCATAGCAAAGCAGAAGATCGCGAAGGGCGAAATTATTGCGACCTCCTATACGCAACCGTTAAAGTCGACGCTCATGCGTCGCCAACATCTCTCACAGGCGAAGTGCTTCGAGTGCACTTGTGCGCGGTGTAAAGACCCCGAGGAGTTGGGCACATTTGCGGGCGCCATTTTATGCAGTCGTTGCAAAATCGGAAAGGTCAGTCATTGATTTAAATTGACAATCCAACCCCTTACATATAAATATTTATTTCAGATAATATCTAAAAATCCGTTGGACAATGGCGCTTTGTGGAAGTGTCAGCTTTGCCCACACGAAATACCTGCCAAACAAATTAATTGGGGCAACGGCGCCATACTGAAGGAGATCGAGACGCTAAACAAGTTGTCACCACGCGCGTTTGAAGAGTTCCTACACCGTTATCGCGACACATTGCATGACAAAAATACGCATGTGTTGCAGGTAAAATATGCGCTCACTCAACTGTATGGACATGCGCCCGGGTTCCAAATGCACGGTTAATCCATTTCGCTGTTTAATTTGTTAACGGTACTCACCTTCAATCATGTATTTTTCAGAAATGACCGATGCGGCTGTGAAGCGAAAAGTTGAACTGTGCCAAGAGCTCCTGGAAGTGGCGGAAATACTGGACGGTGGTTGGAGCATATTCCGCGGTAATCTCTTGCTCGATCTGCAGGAAGCGTTAGTGGTACAAGCAAAACGCGAATTTGAAAAAGACTTACTGACTAAAGCAAATGTTCAGGAAAAGCTCACCGAAGCAATGGAGCTACTGAAAGAAGCTGTGGAAATTATGAAATTGGAACCCGATATGCAGGAGGCGCTAAAAGAGCGCACCTATCAGTTAGCTAAAGAGCTAGAACTTGATTAAATACATACGTTTTAGTTCAAATATGAGAGTAACTTATTAATTTTTAGTAAAAAGTTTTAGAAAAAGTGATAACTGGTAGTATAACATGAAGTTTTTGGTTGTTATAGAAGCGGACTCTCTGAATAATAGTATAGTAGTAATAGTTTTGCATTGCGATAACATAATTTTAGCAGCAAATCCTTAGCTCCTAGGGCCATAACTTCGAAAAATGGACTACCTAATAAATGATAATAATTTTGCTGATAAAATTAACTCTCACCGCTGACAATGTTATCAATTTATACCTCATCGTTTTCGAGGATTTTACCAGGTTTATTATTATGGGAACCAGCTTTGATAACGGATAGAGTGCAAGGTTGTAAGATCCTCAATCCCTAAAGGCATCTAATGATAGATATAGAGATGAATAGTGGCATAGAAATGAGTTCGTCCTTATCAGATTCCGTGAGCATTGAAAACGAATTCTTTGTTGATGAAACTGTCTTCAGTCAGAATCAGAATATATATAACGGTATTTACTATCGCATATTAGAAATAAGCCCACAGTAAAACTCGCATCTAGAGGGCGCGCTGCCTACTTATTGCATATTATTCCCGTTAGGTAGTGCTAAAGTTTATTGATAGCAATCAGCTGTTCATGACAGTTCTTAAAAACGATGTGATTAGCAAACGTTTACAATACTCTCATTAAATCTCTGGCGCTCATAAAGCTTAAATAATTAGAAAATTGAACTGTTTCTTTTCCTATAAAACAAATAATATTAGCAGGTGAGTTTGTGAGTTAAGCAATTATGTCGAATATTACTGCAGCAGTAATCGCGAATCGCAACAAGAAGCATTTTCTTGGCGTGCCGGCACCGCTTGGCTATGTCGCTGGTGTTGGCAGAGGGTAAGTTGATTTAAAAAGAATCAAACCTAAACAATAACAAATTAATTTTTTTATATTTTATTTATAGTGCTACTGGTTTCACCACACGTTCTGATATTGGTCCTGCGCGCGACGCGAATGATGTCTCAGATGATCGGCACGCACCACCGGCTGCAAAACGTAAAAAGAAAGAAGAAGAGGAGGAGGAAGATGAAGACTTGAACGATTCCAATTACGACGAATTTAGCGGCTATAGTGGTTCGTTGTTCTCAAAAGATCCATACGACAAAGATGACGAAGAGGCCGATCAAATATACGACTCTATAGATAAACGTATGGACGAGAAACGTAAAGAATATAGAGATCGACGTATGCGCGAAGATTTGGAGCGTTATCGTCAAGAACGGTATGTGAGCATTCGGTTGTTCAATAAAATTTTTATTACTAAATTAAATTATTTTTTCAGACCAAAAATTCAACAACAGTTCTCGGACCTGAAACGTTCTTTAGCTAATGTCACCGCTGAAGAGTGGTCAACCATACCCGAAGTGGGTGATAGTCGTAATCGCAAACAGCGTAATCCGCGTGCTGAAAAGTTTACGCCACTTCCGGATAGTGTGCTATCACGTAATCTTGGCGGCGAAGCACAGTCGACAATCGACCCCTCCTCAGGCTTAGCTTCGATGGTACCTGGTGTGGCGACACCCGGTATGCTTACTCCAACGGGTGATTTAGATTTACGCAAGATCGGTCAGGCACGTAATACGCTAATGAATGTTAAGCTGTCACAAGTATCCGACTCTGTGACGGGACAAACTGTTGTCGACCCCAAGGGTTACCTTACCGACTTGCAGAGTATGATACCAACTTATGGTGGCGACATAAATGACATCAAGAAGGCACGTTTGCTGCTGAAAAGTGTGCGCGAAACCAATCCCAATCATCCACCCGCTTGGATTGCCTCGGCACGTTTGGAAGAAGTCACAGGTAAAGTGCAAATGGCCAGAAATCTTATAATGCGTGGCTGTGAAATAAATCCACAATCAGAAGATTTATGGTTGGAAGCAGCACGTTTACAACCACCAGATACCGCTAAAGCAGTAATTGCACAAGCCGCACGTCACATTCCGACCTCAGTGCGAATTTGGATAAAAGCTGCCGATTTGGAAACGGAGACAAAAGCAAAACGGCGCGTTTTTCGCAAAGCACTTGAGCATATTCCCAACTCGGTGCGTCTTTGGAAGGCCGCCGTGGAGTTGGAAAATCCCGATGATGCGCGTATTCTTTTGTCGCGTGCTGTGGAATGTTGCAATACCAGCGTGGAGTTATGGTTGGCTTTGGCACGTCTAGAAACCTATGAAAATGCCCGTAAAGTATTGAATAAAGCTCGTGAGAATATACCAACCGATCGACAAATTTGGACCACAGCCGCGAAACTTGAGGAAGCTAACGGTAATATACACATGGTTGAGAAAATCATCGATCGTTCTTTGGCTTCGCTTGCCGCTAATGGCGTTGAGATCAACCGCGAACATTGGTTCCAGGAAGCCATAGAAGCGGAGAAGTCTGGTGCCGTGCACTGCTGCCAGGCTATTGTAAAAGCTGTTATTGGTATAGGCGTTGAGGAGGAGGATCGTAAGCAAACATGGATTGATGACGCTGACTTTGTAAGTATTAATAAATATACAAACAACTTAATGGAAATAATCGCTTTGGTTTTCTTTTTTTATAAACAGTGTGCAAAGGAAAATGCTTTCGAGTGTGCTCGCGCCGTCTACGCGCACGCGCTGCAAGTGTTTCCTTCAAAGAAGAGTATTTGGTTGCGTGCTGCTTACTTCGAAAAGAATCATGGCACACGCGAATCGCTGGAGGCTTTGCTTCAGCGAGCTGTTGCACATTGCCCCAAATCAGAGGTACTTTGGCTAATGGGTGCTAAATCCAAATGGCTTGCTGGAGATGTACCAGCGGCGCGTGGCATATTGTCTCTAGCTTTTCAAGCAAATCCAAATTCCGAAGACATTTGGTTGGCTGCTGTCAAATTGGAGTCGGAGAATGCTGAATACGAACGTGCAAGACGTCTGTTGGCTAAGGCGCGTTCATCGGCGCCAACTCCGCGTGTTATGATGAAATCAGCACGCTTGGAATGGGCTCTAGATAATTTGGAGGATGCCTTGCGTTTACTTGATGAAGCCGTAAAGGTATTCCCCGACTTCCCGAAGTTGTGGATGATGAAAGGACAGATCGAAGAACAACAGAATCATTTAGATGAAGCTGCGGAGACTTATACTCAAGGCATTAAAAAATGTCCTACATCCATACCACTTTGGGTGCTATCGGCTACACTAGAAGAACGCAAGGGCACGCTAACTAAAGCGCGTTCAATACTAGAGCGTGGCCGCTTACGCAACCCTAAGACTGCGGCATTGTGGTTAGAAGCTATACGTATTGAACTTCGTGCCGGTCTCAATGAAATCGCAAGTACAATGATGGCTCGTGCTTTGCAGGAATGCCCAAATGCGGGAGAATTGTGGGCGGAGGCAATTTTCATGGAATCTAAGCCACAGCGTAAGACAAAATCGGTTGATGCTCTCAAAAAATGCGAACACGATCCGCATGTGCTATTGGCTGTCTCAAAATTGTTCTGGTCGGAACATAAATTTACGAAATGCCGTGACTGGTTTAACCGTACGGTAAGTTATAATATAATTATATATAATAACTTCAATATTTGAAATATTGTTCTCTCTTTTAACAGGTTAAAATTGATCCCGATCTCGGTGATGCTTGGGCGTACTTCTACAAGTTTGAACTACTGCATGGTACCGAAGAGCAACAGAAAGAGGTGCTGGAGCGCTGCATAGCTGCTGAACCGAAACATGGTGAAGCCTGGTGTCGTGTGAGCAAACATATTAAGAATTGGTGTTTCAAGACACCAGAAGTGCTGAACGGTGTTGTCAAACAGTTATCTATACCGGTGTAAATATGCTAGAACTAGAACTACTAAAACATAAATTAAACGGTCACAACATAAATTAAACGGTCACTATATAAATTCATTTTATTTGAATAGTTTATTTAATCAAAATGAAGAATTAATGGTAAAATATATTAAAATCGATCGGCCACTACATCCACTACAGCTTCACGTAGAGTTTTGAGCTTTTTAACTTTTTCGACTAATTTATCTGCTTCTACACAGTTTTCGGGCATCCGTGCGTGTTGTTCGAAATTGCGCTTTGCCTCTCGCAAACGCTTATGCAGTTCCTTTGGTTCCAACAATGCTCGGCCGGATAATTCGAAGTCATTGGATAGCGCAGCCGATAGTAGTGCAGCGTTTTCTTTAGTAAACTTATAATCATAGCCAGCACCTTGGCGCTCATAGGGGCAACGTAACAATAGGGTGTGAGTTGGCGCATGCGTTGGCTTCGTTAAATCGAATTCTTCATTCGTATCAAATTGTTTGTCGGTTACGGGAAATTCTTTCAACTTTTCGAATAAATATAATATAAAATATACTCGAACAAAGTTTTGAGTTCTACTTACCAGTTGGCGCAATTGATGCGGCTGTTTGACCAATAAAAAATCTTCGCCTTCTTTATTTAATCTGTTAAAGCCAATGCGTCGATCGACGGACATGCGTGCATAGCCATTGGGTGTCCGTTCATATTCTGGATGTAAATCCAATAATTTCAACATTTGTTTTTGTATCGGTGTCAATTCGTACGTATTAATATTCGGTAAAACTTTTCGTTGGAAGTGATCGCACAGTTGTTCTACGCTGTATTTATTTAATTCTTCTGTGTTATACAAATGAGATTCATGGAACTCATTCCAGGTTTCCTCGCGCTCAACAAAAAGTAACCTGCTTGCGGTGGTTATATATTGGATTAGTGCTTTATCCAGAGCGTCAGTGTTTCCATTTATGTCGAATGAATCATTTATATCGGTTTCGGTCGAAACTTCACCATGTAGCTTAAGCATTTCCATGTCCAAAGCGTCCATTTTAATAAAATTCAATAAAAAATAGTCAAATAAAATTTGTCTCCTGCTTTAGGACGCATCTAACCGCCTAATTTACAATATCACCTTATTTATTTCTTTCCATATTAGATGTGCAGTGTTGTATTTTACCGGCAAATAATTTCCGCTAGAGTTTTAAATATATACATAACTGCCGACATTACAAATATTACACTAAAAGCAAGATTTGATAAATAAGGTGTACAAATTTAAAAATTAACCATTTTAATTAATAAAAATTAATTAATTAACAAAATTCGTCTGATTTATTCAATATGTTGTTTTGGAATACACCCTTAGGTAGAATTATTACTGTCTACTTGATTTTGAAAAAAGTCGAGTGACAGTTGAATTAAGGGGATTTTAACTAAAAATTCACAAGCATACGGTCAAATAACAGAAATAATAATTTCAAATAAACAATTCTAACAATTAATAAAAACCCCGTAAAGTAAAAATAATTGCAAAAAGATTGTGGTCCAACCGTATTAACCGGGCTGGTAGTGGCATTTCACTCCGGTACGCTATCCCACTACTGTCTACCACGGGAACTCTTGGCTGCTGGTTTTCACCCCTGGCCCGGTTCATCCCTCCTTAGCCAACCTGAATGCCAAGGACTCCTCCATGGCACCCATATTGATGGCAAGCTTAGTGCGGACGTTCCGTCAACATGAACTGGTCCACCACACAGAACTCCCGGCTTCAGGCCATTCCACAACCCGACCTCACAGAAGCGTGATTACAGAAGATGCCAACCTTCCAGTCATTATAACGGCACTTGTATTGCCTATATAAATTGAATGAATGCTGAAACGTGCGGCACGCACAGTAGGTGGCGCTCTGGAAAGCGACTACATTTCCGAGCATAGTGAAGACTAAAGTTTTTATACATTTACATTTCAATTTACACTAAAAATGTAAAGCATTTTATTCACAAAATATATTTAAGTCAAATGATTTATGTATTTATGAAGTCAAATGATTTATGATTTCATACATTGCATTATTCACTGAAAATGCTTTGCGACATCTATTGTTAAGTTTTTCTAACAAAGAAGCTTTGCAGTGTTGCCAGTTTTATTTTTTACCCTTTTTACCTTCGTAGGTAGTCTTTTAAACGCTACTGAATTATATTGCTCAAAGTTCCGTAGTTCAATTCCCAGCCTAGTTTATATTAAAATTCAATAAGTCTTTTTTAAAATTAATTAAGTTATTAATATATTTTTTTAATTAAAAAATATATATCTACATAGAAATCTAAAAATAAAGTTATTTGGTCACAACGCATAAAAAGAACCTGAGTACAAATCCTGAAGCGATATGATAATATAATATATTTCTAATTTATTTATTAATTTTATTTCTTAAAATTATATGGAAATAATATAACATTATTGAACTTTTAAAGAAACCTATTCATTTATCACTAACAGTAACAACTCACTAGCGTGGCAGCGATAAGCTACTTCATACTCACGCGCTCTGCATACTTAGTGGCTAGGTAAATACAAGTAAGTAGGCAAAAAATATAATTTCGACTGGAAGGTTGGCATCTTCTGTAATCACGCTTCTGTGAGGTCGGATTGTGGAACGACCTGAAGCCGGGAGTTCTGTGTGGTGGACCAGTTCATGTTGACGGAACGTCCGCACTAAGCTTGCCATCAATATGGGTGCCATGGAGGAGTCCTTGGCATTCAGGTTGGCTAAGGAGGGATGAACCGGGCCAGGGGTGAAAACCAGCAGCCAAGAGTTCCCGTGGTAGACAGTAGTGGGATAGCGTACCGGAGTGAAATGCCACTACCAGCCCGGTTAATACGGTTGGACCACATTCTTTTTGCAATTATTTTTCTAGGTTTACTTTATATGTGACAATGACGGAATTGAGTTTCGGATAATAATCGGAAAATAAAAATAAAAAAAGAAATAAAAATGGAAGAGTATATTTTTTTACTATTTTCGATTGAGACCAATCGATAAGATTATAACTAAAAAATTTTAAGAAAGCATATACTTAACCGATCTAAATAATTAGAGAATGGTTGAAATTTACTTGAATATATTGACTAATTTGAATTGAGAAAATAAATGGAATATTGCAATAAGGGATTACAACTAAATTGTTTTGAGAAGGATTTCCGTCAGGCATATTTTTTAAGGATGGGATCGCCAATCCACGAACTTGAATTGACATTCTATATTGATAGCAAATAAAAGATATGTAAGAAAGCTTTGATCTAAAACTCTTATAATGAGGTCTACAGCTTCCATTACAAACAATTGCGTACTCGTATATTAATGACATATTTATAACAAAGTGTGTGTGAGTGTAAGATTTTACTATTTTATCGATCGTGGCTCAACTTGTGAAATCGTATAATTAATTACGATCGACCTAAAGTCAAAAATTAACATGATACCCATCTGCAGCACTACTTGTTTCTCGTTGTTTCTTATTTCGATGTATTTTCTTCGTTAAATTCCATACGTAATTAACGGCTAATTCTAGAATAAAGCTAAACGCACTCAGTAGTAATCCGAAACCGAAAATGCCCAAAGAATAGCGACATTCAGTGATGCCGATAGAAACAAAACCACCCATGCCACCCTCACATTTCGGTTTCTGCGGAAACCATTTCAGCTCTTCGCGGTTCATCAAGCCCACTTCACGTTGCCAACGCAATCTATACAAAGTTCAAAAGAAGAAGAAGGCAAATATTAAATTTGAACTAAACGTTATGCACCTACTGTCTACGAAAGAGTTCCTTGTATGGGAAATTCTTTCGGGTTGGTACCGCTATCATCGGTAGCTGAAATGGCTCCAGCTCTTTGAGTCCACACTTTTCTGGCTCGCTAAAGGTGTTGCTTATGATCTGATAGCCGGCTTGTAATTCGACTTGGTAAGCAAAAAGGCCGGTGCGCATTTTTTCCATGCCGATTGAGGGACGCATAAAAATATTTTCACCTTTCGGTGCAATTTTTTTGTGGTACAAGTGATTTGTAATGGGATCGGTGGACTCCTACAACCGTATAATTATTTGAAACAAAATGATTTGAACAATTAAATCACTCATACTTACATTGAAGTATATTTTATTGTAGACCGTATCTTGTACGCCAACCTCCAACGGGGACTGCGTTAAATCACTCAAAGTTTGTATGGCTTCCGAAGGACTTTGCAGTAACGCCACTATATTCGCCGAAAATGACGTGTATAAGAAAAGTGTCGATACAAATGTCGTGAAAATGATAACACGAGCCGAGCGATTGAGTAGGTTGGCATAAAAACCCTGCTGACATATGGCACCCCAAACGAAAACCACACAATCCAATATATCGATCTCGTGCAAATGTGGGGAGTATACCAGCTCAACCATAAATATACCAATGGTGAAGATCATCAACAGTAGTATGGCGATCCAGACATCGCTGGCAAAGGGCATGGCGAAAATGTTTGCTACGGCCGATAGTGGTGGTTGGCGAAACATTATACCCGCGCGTATGCGATATGTTTCAGCTACAAAATCCACAATGGCGATTCGATCTAGACGCATGAAAATGGCCATTTGTCCAAAGTCCAGTTCGTAACGTTGAAAACGTCCCATCAGTCCATCGAACGAGCCATTTGGTTGATGCCAGCCATAGTTGTCCACTTGATGCGTATTAAAGCTTTTAGAAAATAAAAGAATAGAAATATAAAATCTTTACATAATAAAATAGAACACTTTTTCGGCGAAATCCAGTGTATGCGCGGTGGATGATGAGACGCTGGAACATTACTTTGCGAATGCCCAGCGTTCAGCCGGCTTCCAATGTTTTAACTTAAAAGTCATTGGGTAGGTCGGGGGTAAAAATTATGCTTTTTACCAAATCCACTGAGTTGATGGACCGAATGAAACCGAACATTTTATACTCTTGCAACTTGTAACGATCAAAGCAAGGAAAATACATTGAAGTGTTGGCAAAACTTCAGATTAAAAAAATGTTGCTTAACAATCGAACGTACATTATTCGACGAAATCGTAGATGGATTACAATCAAATTTTGTATTTTATTATTGTAAGTTATATTATAGGTCACAGACTCACTTAGCTTAGTTACAATACTTCGCGTCAAATAAAATTGTATTTCCACCATCTCACTCAACTGAAGAAGCTAAATTTAATACAGTTATATAAAAGCGTCAAATAGAGAATCGCAATTCATTATTTTATTTTATTTAAAATCTTTTTTTTTATACTCTCGCAACTTGTTGCTACAGAGTATAAGAGTTTTGTTTACCTAACGGTTGTTTGTAGCACCTAAAACTAATCGAGTTAGATATAGGGTTATATATATATAAATAATCAGGATGAAGAGACGAGTTGAAATCTGGGGTCAATATATGTAGTATTTGGGAGTTGGGGTACATCGTAGACTAAACTCCCATACTTCCGGCAATAAACTATAGTATATCCAATATTAAAGGTTTAGTTAAATTTGCTAAGATATCTTACATATTGGCTGATATATATGATATAAGGTCAAGTTTGAAAATCTTATATGAGGTATCTAAGAGATAGGTGTCGTATTGACCCGATTTTATATATTTTTGGCATTCTGGCATTGGCATTCATTAAGGTACTTCACATACCATCACCAGCATATATGGAGTAAAATCAACCGGAAACTTGAAAATTCTGGAATTAGTTATATGAGGATTAGGACAAGTTTTCACACAATTTTACATATATTTAGACAATTTTTTTTACAAAAATTCAATATAATACGAAAAATATATCCCCTTCATTTTATTAAGATAGCTCACATATTGCCCGATAAATGCGGTATGAAGTAAACCGGAAGTTCGAAAATAGTTAAAAAAGCTAAATGGGGCTAAGGGAAGTATTAAACCGATTCAATCAGTTTTTGACATATAGCTCGCATCGTTAAACTTAACACGGGGCGGAGTCACGCACACTTAAAAATTTTTTTTCAACCATAGATGCCCCTCCCCAGTTCAATTCGTTGTACTGAATAACAGCCATATCGGAGATTAGTTATGGCACTTTATACGTTTTCGATTAATGAAGTTTTGTGGGCGTGGCAGTGGTCCGATTACGCCCATCTTCAATACAAAAGTTCTTATGGTACCAAAAAACTTGTGTACCAAGTTTCATAGAGATAATTTTTACCCAAGTTATAGCATCAACGGACGGACGGACAGACCCGGATTTCAACTCGTCTTGTCATCTGATTATTTATATTTATATACACACCTATATCCATCTCGATTAATTTTGGGTGATACATCCAACCTATAGGTAAACAAACGGATAGGATTTCATCAGCAATAATCAAATCTAGCTTGTCCCAGTTTACTACGGAATGGTTCCGTCCTAACAATTTCTAAACGTAGAGAAAAACTCAACTTCTCGAGTATAACGTCTACCTTACCTATTAATTGGAGGAATTGTAAGCACTTACCGCAAATTCAATTTGTTCGCCAACTCCAGGGTGAGCCTATTATTTACTTTGGAAATAGTATCGATATGCCGCAGAGACAAATCCTCGATATTTGTAAACATATCGGGAAAGGCGATCACAAGTCCCGTATTAAAAGTGATACCTTCCAAATTTTGACGATAAGAAATGGCCGAACCGAATTTACTTAGCACCTGCAACATATCCTCTGCTTCCCGCAATTCTCGACCACCCACCGAGGTACGACGTAAGGGCTTGTCTGCGGCTATCTTATACACATCCACCAATGTGAAAAATTGTGTGCCTGCCTGCTGCAACATAACGCGCACCTCACCATCCGGCGGCAGAAATATGTTCTCATCGTCGAGCAGTGAAATATGTGCCGGCTCATCGGTGAAAAGCAACCAAAAGCGATTTGTGGTGAAATAGTTGTGCTCGGCCGCAGCGGCCCAGCGTAGCACGTTGAGCGCACAGGCGCTGGCGAAATGCAACAGCAGTATACCTGATTTATAGGTGAGCGCTGACAGCTGCAGACGCAATGGACGACGCGTGATATTATCGCTGCGAAATGTGTGCGGTGGACCGTATGTGGCGCGACTCATTGCAGGTGCGACGCTTGTTGAATCTACTGCTGAGGTGTCGGTCGTGTTGGAAGGTTCGACTTTAGTTTGCGCTTGCACTGGGCTGCGAGTGTTTTCGTTGTCGTCATAGTCTTGGCCGTTGAATACGCGTGTAGAAAAGCCATGGGCGATAAATTGGCGCAGTAGCGATTTCAATTTATGATGGTCTTCCTTGGTGACTGCAATGAGAGGAGCATTGAAGGGCGCAGTTGTTGAAAATATTGGTCATTTATTTTTATATTTTTTTTGCCGCCAAGTTTATAGCCACTACTATTGGTTTATGGGAAGGATTACTGTGCTTCTCTATTTTGCATTCCGCTCTAATTTCGTAACATATTACTTCCTTACCTACATCCTGCGGACATACAACCAACATTATGTTGTGTACTCCATGCCAACGAAAATATTCCATGAAAATTTGCGCATCGTAAACTCCTCTAGTTGGCTCTTCCACTGTTGAATTGCCTAGGTGCTCGGCGCTTGCCAACCGAAATATGCAGCAAATTAGTAGTAAGAAGTGTGATCTCATGGCTGGTACTCTTTTTTTAAACCTTAATTTTTCCTCCTTTATCAAAACTGTGTTCAGCTGCATGCTACGGTTGTGCCTTAAGTTGCTGCCAAGTTGAGTGTTCGATTCATTTTATAGCACTGGCTATTTATTTATGCTCATATATGACAGTTTGTACTGTTATGTGAGTTATTTAATTTTTTTCTTGGTGTTTCGGTTTGCAATCATAAAATAATGAAAAAATTGATGTGTTGAGTTGGATTAAATTGCTGCAATTTGATGGAAAATTGCAATTGGTCTTAAATTTATAATGAGCGTAGCAAAAATAACGGCTTTTTAAAGTGCCGATGTTCTGTAAATTAAGCAGTTTATTGTTCTTTCATATCAGAAATATTATAGACGATGAATAGGGGTAGTAAATCACGTTAAGTAATTAAAGCCAAGGAAGTAATAACCCTTCCGTATTTTCCTTTTCAAGAAAAATTATAAATTTTGAAATTGCATTAAGATTTAAGAAGTTTTCAGTTCGTGTGGGTAATAGAAATTATGAATTCAGGGATTTTGGGTTAAAATACCGCTATATGAGATCAACAAAGTAAAGTCACAAATTGTAAAAAATTTGCGGCAGACAAGTTTTTGAAATATTAAACAGCCTCCGACAAAGCCCAGAGAGATATCAAAGTGACCAAACCTACATTTCATTCCTCCCGGGCCCGTAGTCTTTTGAGCTGCCCGGTACTCTGCAATAATCACCCACAATCCAGAAACCCCACAACAACAAATGCTGCTGATACTAAAAAAGTTGCGTAACAAGTGTCGCAGCGACCGTTCGTAAGTGGTTTGCTAAATTCCGAGCAGGATATATAAGCACCAAAGCGATGAGCCAAGTCGACGTTCGGAAGTGACTGTTACTGAGATGGCTAGCATTCTCAAGATATGAAAAGAACGTGTTGTACATATCATTCAAAAATATTACGTGAAAGTGATGTTCAAAGTGAGTGCTTCACGAGCTCACAATCAACCGATTCACCATGTCAAAAACGGTGGCAAACTTACATGGATTGGGCTTCAAATTAATATTTCATTCACCGTATTCTCCGGATATAGCTCAGCAAGATTTCTCAGCCCCCAGATCTGAAGAAAATGATCAGGGGAAAGAAATCGCCGAGACTGCGGTCTATATAAAAATAACATCTTTTGCTTACTACGAAAATTTTATCGAAATTGGTTATGTGGTTATGCTTCCGGTCCCCAACTTCCTTCCAATCTAAAGTGGTTGAAAAAAGAATTTCTCTGGACGTTCTTCGATACTAATAGTCGATAGCTTTAGATCAGGATTCTTTTTTGCTTTGGATAACCCCAAGATACTCAAGATATTACCAACTTTATACCCCGTGTATAAGGCCATCCAAAAGTTTTCATTGTTATACAAAGTCCATTTGACTCAAGTTATCGAATTTTCATAGTACTTAACGGTAATTGAAAAGTATGAAATGTTTCGACACTTACTGTAAATCAAAGCTAAATCTACTGCTAAACCCCGCAAAATACACAGACTGCAAAATAAATCACGCAAAGTTTTCGCCGTTTTGGCAACTGCAACATGCAATTTTCCGCTGTCAGAAACTGCACGCCAGCGATAACAATAACATTCGAACACTTGCTATACTAAGTACGTCAAAATATTTTCTTGAAATCTTGTTTTTTTTCCACTACTTTTTTTCGAGTGCCTTTTCTACACAGTTTTCGATCGGTGAAGCTTTGGCTGCCATGGATGGCAGTGGCAACAACAGCGTAGAATTCTTTATTTTCACAACAGCGTAGCACGCACATGTTGCATCGTTAGATGGGAGAAAGGGACCTGAAAAAGTAGTAAACTGAAAAATTGCAGTTCTTGCTATTGGCAAGCTGTTAGTTGGCACATTTAATTGACAGCATGACTTCTCGCTCTCAACTGTAAGTAAATAATGGGAATATAATTAAGAACTGGTTGAGTCTAATTCAATATGAAGGGTGAAAAAATTGTTGCCAGTGCGCTAAATACTTCCGAAAGGGAGGTACAGCTATAAGTTGTTTACGAGCGCTGGAAAATTGTTTGACAGAAAGCTTCGAAAAAGTTTAATGCTTAAATAAAATCCTGGATCATGGATACTTTTTAAGATTGCGTAATGTCAGATTTTATAATATTTATATATAAGTAAGGGTTTCTTATAGTCACCAGTCGTTGAAATGTGTAAAAATAGAATATCGGGTTTCCAGAGTTTTTAGAAAGCCCTTCAGCATGCCATCAGAGTTTATTTGTTTGGTACAAAATAATCTGAAAGTTACCTTCCCGAACTTTGGACTGGGTAAAATATGGGCTTAAGTTTGCCACCATTTTTTTTTAAATAAATTTTGACTCAATTAATATTAGTTTCTGGTAACTTAGTCCAAAAAATGAGCAAACTGTTGGGGTTGTAGCGATTAGCCTTTGGGGTGGTAGATGAATGGATTTAAGGTAGAATGCAATCAGTAACTCGCTGCTTTCAATAATTATCCCTAGTACATCGGAGTTAAGTATGTGTATAAAATAGGTTAAACCTGCAGAATATCAGGAATGAGAGAGGTTTACGCCACTTCCGATAGGCAATTCATCTGTTAGTAATTACATCGATAGTCTAAGTTAAAGAGATACAAGATATTCTACTAAGTGAATGCCTAATATTTCGGGGGTCTAGCCCTATTGAGATCAGCAAGTATTATATTAATTCATTCACTTTGTGCATATGAAATTTGTTGAGTTGGCAATGAGTTAAATATTTCTCTGTGGAAAAGTATGTGGTTCCAAAAGTAATGACGCTGTCTATATCTTTTTATTTTATGTTATGTGGTATTATATAATATACGTTTAAAATATTTTTATTTTAGAAATCTCTTCAGCCTCACTTAAAATTTTTTTTTTATGTTATTCTGAAGATTTGTATGTTTTCAATTTATTTTTTCAATTCTCTATCAAATCACACATTTGCCTTGCTTTCAATTTCGTTTAGTTGACGCAGACTTCTTTCCAGTACTTACCGTCATATTCATAAAATGCTTGCCACAAATTTAATATTCCAAAATATGTCACTGCAGCGCATAAAAATATTTATTTTTCATTCTCGGCGGAGCAAAAATATGTTCAAATTTCTTCATCATATACGAATACTTATATTGTAGGTATGTATGTATGTATATAACAGACCTTTTGCTGTGAATGCGCGATTCCGTAGAGGCACACTGATTGCCATATGTTGCGCTTTCAATGTGGTGCACACATATATAAATTTATAGTAATAACATCCCTACAAGAAACTGCTGATGGTTTCACCAATACACTAACATTTATTATGTCAGTACTGACGGTCAATTTACCCGTCAATTGACCTTCACTGTTATTGTTAAAAAGACACACTTATGATTTATATTGCTTACTATAGCTTTACATATGTAAGAATGAAATAGCTGCATCCTTTGGTACCGTCACCACTGAAAGTCAAATAAACAGTAAAATGATTGTCAATGTTTACGATTTTTCAAAAAGCAAATTTTGTATACGTCGAAAAAAGACTGCGCATATTTCCATAGGAGTTTTGAGAAGTTGTGAAATATCTATGCAGCTGTTATTCCGTGCGATAAACCAAAAGTGTTGCGTGCTCCTGTGCAATAACACTTTTTATGTTAAAAAAAATAACGATGGGGTTATCAAATATAATATACGTAAGTAATTATTAAGTTTCAAATAACATTATATTTTTAGTTAATTTTCATTCTTTTTTAGGCACTTTTAAATTCCGAAATATCCAAGAACTGGAGAAACACATTCAGCAGAGCTTTTGAGAGGAGCAAGCATGGAATTAAGTTAAAATTTCTTTTCATAATTTATTATTTAATTTTATTTTTGTTGTACTCCTTTTTCTATTTATGTATATTATTACAACTAATTTTAATTAAAGGTTTTGAAGTTATTAAAGAAATCAAATTTTTTTATGTACTGCGCAAAAGACAATTTCACTTGTGATAGCTTTCCAGTCATAAATTTTCAGCTTTGATGGATTTATGATCAGCAATTACTCAGGAAAAGGCATGAAAGTGAGCAGTATGGATATATAGCGAATTAATTCCGAATATCGAAGTGTTAAAGAGAGATGCAAAATCACAGACATGCGTTTGTCAGTTTTTGCTCAAAGCTCTTAAGAAAATGATAGAAACTTTGTTCAGCGCGCTGACAATATTTTTTTAGCTGTGACTGTTATATTACCGGTCAGATGACTGTCACTGTTCTTGTAGGGTATATACTATATACAAAGTACTTTTGAAAATACATTCGTATGTACTGAAAGATATGTGTAGGTTGTCGAATTATTTGTTTCATGGGAAAAAGTAAAAAATTTCAATTCCATTTTTGTCGCGTGCCATTTCACAAGCGAATGCCATTTTTCTTGTGACATTACTTACCGTCTACGTGGTTGTTTTTCACAACAAAAAATAAGTTATATAAGATTGGGTCACAAGCAGAGCAGTATGATAGGCGGTAGGTTTAAATAAGTTGATAGATATAAATTGAGAAATAGTGATATTTTAATTAAAATTTTATTTCATAAGAAACTTTTCATTAATAAAAAATAACAAAAATTGTAGTAAGAAAGAGCCATGTTCTTCTGTGGCTGAAAATTATAACTCGAACTCGAACGGTAAATCGTTGGAAATCATCGGTATTCGTGGAATCAGTATGTCTTCGCCTTTGAATTTACCACCGATGATTGTGGCTTCAATTAAATTCGGTGACAATTTAATTGTTAATCTGGTCCCGTTGCATAACTTAGATGCCTTAAAATTGCGAATGAGCATTATGGGTGACCCAATTTTCAATTTTAGTGTGTGCGGCGGCATTCCAGGTGGCTCTAATGAGTGTGAAAATTCAACTGGATAATTAACAACTTGTTCTTCGTCCATTACCGTGTCATTTGTGTCAACACAAATTTGGGATATAAAACAATAGAATATCATCATAGCAAATAAAAACTGTATTTGACAGTTCAAAAAGAGTGCTCCGATCATCACCAAACCTTACAGGATTACTCGTCAGGTCAATGTAAAGATTTCCTGACAGTTTCATTAAAATCGGTCTAGCCGTTTCGGAGTCTACC